GTCTTCTACGTCCTGCTTGCAGGTTGCCCAAAAATAACGTTTCCGGATCTTCCCCAGAGTTTTATTTACTCCGAAATGACCTCCAGAAGGAGAATCGTGCAATTCTTCAAGAATTTCCTTAGTGAATTTCCGAGGAACTACTAGTTGCAGAAAACTCGATTTAAGGTTCGAAGCTTCCCATTTTTTAAAGAGTATTCCCTCTTTCAGGACTAGAGCATCCCAATATGACCAATAGATTTGCGCAGAGACATCTTCCGAAGTTAACACAGAGCGTGGTGGGCGAACTCCAGCCTCTTTGCCTTGGAGAATAACTGAAATACTTGGGTCTGCCCTTTGTTCCAGACGCCAGTCTATCGGACTTCCTTTAATTAACTCAATGCGAGCGATTTCTTTCTCCATAGTTGTAGAGTCTTTCCTCTCCACTTTAGCACAATACTCACAACCGAATAATTCACATGACCGTCTCGACAGTCCGTCAGCATTCTTGTGAGAAAGTCCTTTCCTGTAGACAATAACAAATTGGTATTGCTGAAGTCTCTCCAACCAACGGGCCAACTGTCCATCTAAATCCCTAAAAGACATAAGCCAACGCAACGAAACATGATCCGTACGGATAAAAAATTCTCGTCCCAAAAGGTAATGCCGAAAGAACTTAATAGAATCTACAATCGCCAAAAGTTCACGACGAGTCACGCAATAATTCCGCTCGGCTTTATTAAGGACGCGACTAAAATATGCAATGATCCTCTCCTCTCCCTCCTGCTTTTGTGATAAAACCGCGCCAATTCCTATATTAGAAGCGTCTGTATCTAAGATAAATTTCCCCTCCCCCTTCGGAAAAGAAAGCACCGGAGGAGAGAACAGCGTCCGCTTCAATTCATCAAAAGAGATTTGATATTTTTCTTCCCAAATAAATTTCATCCGATTCCCCGTTAACTCATATAAAGGTTTAGCTATCGAAAAAAAACCTTTAATGAATTTCCGATAATAAGAACAAAATCCAAGAAAACTTCTCAATTGAGTTTTCGTGTGAGGAACCGGCCACCTCTCAACGGCAGCAACCTTCTCAGGGTCAGTAGAGATGCCTTCCGCCGAAATTACATGCCCCAAATATTTCACTTTTTTACTAAACAATACGCACTTCTTAGGATTTATTTTTAAATTTGCCTCTTGTGTAAACGTAGAAATACTTTTTCTAAATTAGCCAACATTTCTTCGAAAGTTTTTCCAAAAATTATTATATCATCTAAGTAAACCAAACAAATTTTAAAAAGTAAACCACGTAAAACTTTTTCCATTAGGCGTTCAAAAGTCGCCGGGGCGTTACATAATCCGAAAGGCATCACCGTAAACTGCCAAAGCCCCCTGCCGAATGAAAAAGCCGTTTTCTCCCTATCCTCAGTACGAATTTTAATCTGCCAATAACCACTTTTTAAATCCAAAGTACAGATACCTGCAAGTTGATCAAAAATATCGTCGATTCTGGGGAGGGAATATGAGTCTTTCTCAGTCAAAGCGTTTACAAAACGGTAATCCACGCAAAATCTTATTGTTCCGCCCTTTTTCCGTATTAGTACAACAGGAGAAGTCCAAGGGCTATTTGATTCCTCAATTAATCCGCATGCCCTCATTTCCTCAATAACCTTATCCACCTCCCCTCTCATCTGAAAAGGAATCCGTCGAGGTACCTGTTTTTTGGGGAGAGAGCCTTGCACATTTATGACATGTTCAACAATATTACAATTTCCCGCAATAATATTTTCGGAAAACACATTATGAAATTTCCTAAGAAATTCAGTAAAAAGTTCCTTCTGAGATAGATCGAGATTCCGAGAATTATTATCGAAGAGTTCCCTTAAGGAGATAGGGACTTTATTAGGAACATTCTCTATTCGAGCCAACTGTATTTCCGGATTTGTGGATTGAAAAGCAAGATCAAAAATTTCCTCTAAATTTACTCTTTTTAGAAAATCTACGCCTAAAAGGCAATTGTCATTAATATCAGCAACAAGCAAAGGGAATTCAATTGAAAAACTACCTATTTCCACTCTAGCTTTAACTTCAAATTCTACTAAAACTTTCTCTCCAGTAGGATATCTCAAATTTATGTCCTCAACTCGAAACTTCCTCTTTCCTTCATCCACAAATTTCTTATTCACAATTGAAACGTCAGAGCCCGTATCTACCTTAAAAGAACATTCCTTTCCGTTAATCTTTCCCTGATAACAGAAATAATTGAAACTCGGCTTAATTCTATTTTCTTCAAAAACATTTTCTTTATTAATATTCAGAACAACATTTTTATCAGTAATAATCGGGGTATCGACAATTCGAGCCAAACCCACCCCGCAAAGTTTGACTAGATCGCGTTTTTCCCTTCCTCGGGGCATTCAGACCGGAAATGTCCGGTCTTGCCACAGGTCCAACATTCGCCGCGGCTGGCGCCAAATTTGCTGCCATGCCAATTTCCCTTCGGGCCCTTCCCCGCCTTCTCTTTCTCTTTCTCTACACTTTTCTTTTCTTCAGCGCGTTTTTCATTATCACCCGCATGTTCGACTCCCTTTTTCGCAAAATTTCTATTAAAATTCTCTCTATAATTGTCTCCCTGAATGATTCTAAGTGCTTTAGCTCTTTCGACGGCTGCACTCAGAGAGGAAATACCTTCCATCTGAAGCGCTCGTTTAATGAAACTATCCGAGACGGCAGAAACAAATTGTGCGCAAGCGATCTTATCGCGCAACTCACACGGGCACTCGGGGTACGCCAGGCGCGATAGTCTGTCGAGTTCGGAACCAAGAGCAGCCAAATCTTCCCCAAATTTCTGCTTACGATTCGTGAACGCGACATAACTATTCTGCGATTGTCGTCCCTCCCCAAAACGCAGCTCAAGCTTTGCTTTGAGCTCAGCGAAATCCAGTCGTTCGACGTCCTCAACCGTCTCCAAAACTGAGCGCGCTTTCCCCCTCAGGCTCGAAGCCAACGCGATCGTTTTGGTAGCGTCATCCCAATTATTCGCCCGCGCGATTAAATTTAATTGCGAGAAATATTCGTGCAATGAGACGGTTCCGTCATACGTGTCGGGTTTCAGCTTGTATCCAAGCTCACTCGCGACCGCGACACTTTCACCCACGCGCACCGACCGTACCTCCGCGCCGCTCGCGACCGTGGCCCCCGCGCCGCCCGCGACCGCGGCTCTCGCGACCGTGGCTCTCTCTTCCGTGTGCGCATTTCGCGTTTCCGCGCCGCTCGCGTCTCGCGCCCTCGAGTCCCCGGACGCTCTAATAATGGAAGGACTTAACTCTGTGTTGGAAATAATCCCGCGGAGACGGCAGAGCTCCTCCTCCTGGCGGCGGAACGTCTCCACATAATCGCGCTCCCTACGTGCGTGTTCCTCGCGCATCAGGCGGATCTCTTGTATGACGGCCTGGAGAATCACAACTTCCGCCGACGTCTCTGTAGCGCCCGACTGCGGAGTCGCTTCCCTCAGCCGCTTCCTTGTGCTGGACATGGCCGTCGTATCGTATCTCTCGCTCGTCCGATCTTTGCTCGTCCGATCTTTGCTCGTCCGATCCCGGACGAGCCCCCAAAAATGTTACACTCGCCGCGCGTTCGTCACACTCACACAGTCACCACACTCCCGAACGCGCCGCGCTTCCCCGTCACCGGGAAATAAGGAACTCTCTATTATTATATAAAACGGATTTATTGCTCAGATACAACGAGTCACGTCTGTAAGATACGAAGTTCAGAACCAAATCTGACAAGCGTAATAATAAACAATCCACCGTCGCTAAGGCTACCCGCAACTTCTCGCTACGGGGCGACTCACATGAGCGCACGGCACGGGCGAACAGCACGGGCGTAACAGTATATATAACAATATAGAACAATAAAAAGATTACTGAATATAAAGTATTTTTGAATACTTTTATGCTCATTATACACTGTTCCTCGTTAAAAACGCATTAAATTAAATTAAATATATATAAGAATAAAAAAATATATAATTAATATCATTATATCGTTAAATTGTGATAGGTCTTGCTCGGTTTTTGCCGTCAATTTGTCATCAGACAACACTACACAAAGCTTGCTCGATTTTTGCCACCAATTTGTTGTTAGGCAGCACTGTGCAGACCTTGCTCGATTTTTGCACCAATTTATCATTAGACAGCGCTGCACAGATCTTGCTCGGTTTTTGTCGCCAATTTATCGTCAGAGTGCTCGACGCAAATATTACTCGGTTTTTGCCGCCAATTTACTGTTTGGTTATATGTGTATTATTCGCGGGACGGGGACGCATCCCACCGCTGCAATACCGCGCGAAGCCTGGCGTCATGCTCTTGTATGGTTTTCCCCCACACTATTATATCGTCTATGAGGTTAGCGACTCCCTCTAGGCCCTCCAGAATCTGTGAAGCTCGCTTTTGAAAGCACTCCGGAGCGGACAAAATTCCGAAAGGAAGTCTGCAAAAACAAAATCTCCCGAATGGGGTAATAAACGTAGTTAGCTTCTTGGAATCCTCACTTAACGGCACCTGCCAAAATCCTGACACACAGTCAAGTTTCGTAATATATTTGACCCCATTCAGCTGGCCCAACGTATGTTCCACGGTAGGCATCGGATGATTCTCACGTTCCACCGCCTGATTCAGTTTGGTTAAGTCCACACAAAAACGAATGTCATCTGTATTTTGTTTTTTCACTAGAACAATACCGCTGCACCAGTCAGTTGGCTCATCTACTTTCTCAATGACACCCATCTGCAACATTTCTTCGAGTTTCGCCTTTAACTTTGTCATTAATACTAATGGCACCCGACGCGGTTGAGATAAACAGAATGGTTTCGCGTCTTTACGAAGTTTAATACTGTACGACGTTTTCAAAAGACCTAGGCGATTAAACAAACCGGGGAACTCTGTAAAAAGTCTTACAGTGCTCTGTGCAGAAACTTGTGAGCACCGCATCACTAAATTTAGTCCGACACATTCACCTCGTCCTAGCAAATTTTGCCGTAGTCCTTTTACGACAAACACGTTGGCATTCAACGCCCGATCTCCGTAACTAAGTCTGGTAGTGAACATGCCGATACACTTCAACGAATCGCGGGAAACACTTTCTAGGTTACGATCCGCGGTGTGTAATTTACCAAAAGTTTGTCTATTTTCTTCGTACGTACTGTCGGTAATTAGAGTCACATCGGCACCGGGGTCCAGTTGAAAACAAATTGTAACGCCATCTACCGTCACTTTAGCTTGCCACGGCTCGTCCGATGGAACCTGCGATTGGCTCACCGTCGCCACAAAGAACGGGTCTGTACTAGAGTCATCTTCTACTTGCTGTATGGCAGTCTTGGGTTTATTCTTCTCAGACCTGCCATCTGCCGTTCCGGATTTGCACACTTTCGCCCAATGGCCTTCTTTAGCACATTTATTGCATTTCGAACTACGCGCGGGGCATTCCTCTTTTGCATGCTTCTTCTCACTTCCGCAGCCATAGCACTTCCATGGCGTGGAATAATTCCTTCCTTTACGAGCTTTGGTTTTGTTTTGCACACGGTTTACCGCCGTTCCGGTTCCCGCAACATCCGATCGTAACAATTGGTTCTGTTTTTGTACCGTCTCATAGCTTCTAGCTACTTCCACGGCTCTTTTGTAGTCCAAACCATCGAGAAGCTGCAATCTCTCTGAGAGGCGTCGATCGGCCACGCCCACTACGATCCGGTCGCGAATTAATTGTTCACGGAAATTCTCGTACTCGCACGAATCTGCTAACTTGCACAAGTCTGTAATAAAATCCTCCATGCTCTCCCCCGGAGATTGCACGCGCATATTGAATCTCGCACGTTTGTAAATAATATTCTTCCTTCCGTTAAAGAAGCCGTCGAACTTCTCTTTTACTTTAATAATGTCTTTAGCGTCGGTTTCATTTAAATTAAATGAAGTGAAAATGGTTTCCGCCCTCGGTCCCATCGCGTATAACAACGAATTTACCTGTTGCTCTGCACTTGTCACACCCGCCACAATGCAATAGCGGTTAAATCGGGATTTATATGTATCCCAGTTTTGAGGTTTGTTAAAGTCAAACGGTTCCGGGAGAGCCACTCCCGGTTGCACGATCACTGCCGTCGTGTCGGACATCTTGTCTTCTCCGCACGCACGAGCGATGTTTTTCACACGGACAACCAAAGTCACAATTCTTCGTAACTCTCTTCCTTAATGTACTCGGACACTCTTTGGCGTAAGTTCGACGCTGCCACCATGTATTATTCGCGGGACGGGGACGGGAAGGACAGTGATTGTACTCGCGAATAATCAGGAAACGTGTTCTTTATTGCGCTTCTGTGCCGGGCCTCTCTACCCCCGGGCGCCGTACTCAAGACTCAAGACAGACCGCTCCCGCGCTCCTCCTCCGTGGTACCTCTCCCTAACCTCTCCAGATGTCGCTCTCCTCATGCCTGTCGACGACTGTCCCATTGGCGCTGTTCGCGCGGTTAATATGAACGATACCATCATACGACAATATGAGTATATTTGTTCGTATATTGCCGCCAAAGTGTCGTCAGGCAGCGCTACACAGATTTTGCTCGATTTTTGCCGCCAATTTGTTATTAGAGTGCTCAACGCAAATTTTGCTCGATTTTTGCTGCCAATTTGCTGTCTGGTTACATTGCCACATATGCCCGTATTTATTGTTGGCAATTTGCTATCTAATTATGTCAGCAGATTTTGTTACATATTTGCTAGCATTTTGTCGACATTATTTTATTAAATCAAATTCTGTATTAAATTTGTATCCTTCTTGTCAACAACATTTGTAGCAAGATTTTACAAAATCTGTTTTCGACAGACTTGGCTATCTGGGTAAGGTTTGATATTCATTGAACTCACCCCGTAGAACCAGGCGAATTTAGAATCCGGTAAATCGGTCACGTTCATCTTTCGCGCGATGTCATTATGAACAAACGTGTCATTAAACCCTCCGAATTTCTGCGTCTTTCCTCGTCAGAAACGTTTTCTGATTCTTTATGAGTCTTATGTCGTCCCAGATCGTCGATATATATATCCATGTTATGCACGATCTATCTAGGTTAACCTGTGTAAACACTCGCGTAATCGCGTAAACGTTAGTGTGCGCTAATAGCGCGCCCCCCCGAACGCAGCCTTTATACTTAACAGAACAGTAGTATAACTCGGTAAAATTAGATATTTAAAGATTTCATACATTTTTTTGAAAATATCGTACACACGGTGATAATGCACATAAGTACACAAGTTGCATATACATAAGATTACACACAAATATATTGCACACACGACTATATTATACATATAAAATATTAAAACCGTACGAACATGTTGTATATATATCATTATTAATATTATAATATATATAGTATATTAATAAAATAATCATTTATTTATTATATATTATATATTTATTATATTTTATTTACATTTTAATTTGTGACCAATAATGACACCGATAATTTTGTACAAAGTTTTTACTGGTATAATATTAGCAATTGTTTTGTAGACAAATGGAGCCTCTCCTTTGTTTTCTATAATGTTCATTAAATCGGTATTTGCTTCAAAGGCTTGCATTTGTTTCACAGACAGGGATAAATTTTACGCAAAGTGTATGAGCAGGGCGAAGTACCAAATCGGCCTGTATCCGAAGATTTTTTAAATAATCAATGGGCTCCAAGTAGAAATTGTGTATGAGAGAAGCTATCATCGCCTTCAATTCCAGTATAGCGAATCGTTGACCTTTAATTTGGTATGTATCGTAATTTGATTATATTATATAATAATATATTATATATTAAGATATAAGAAACACAGCTTACCGATGCAGTTACGTGGTCCAGCACTGAATGGTAAATAGGAATAAGGATGACGATTTCGTTTTCTCTCTGGCAAGAATCTGTCGGGATCAAATACTTCTGGATTTGGCCAAAAATTGGGATCTCGGTGGATTGCGTAAATATTAAGATTTATGATTGTTCCAGCAGGTACTACATATGACTCTAAAAAAGGCATATATATATCTATACTAATATATATATATTTTGTGACCTATACTAATATATATATATTTTGTGATCTATACTTATATATATATATATATACTATATATATAGAATACAATAAGATTTACAAATAGTAATAAACAACTTTAGTAAAATTTTAAAATTGAATATACATCTAATACAAATTAGAAATTTGCACTTGGCTTCCTCATAAGAAGAAGTGATGTCTTAAGTCATCGGCTAATACGGCCCTCTGATTGGCTAATGACGACTTAAGACTATACTTAAGACGATCTTGGATATAAGAACCGACTATGAATACCGGCCTTAAAGAATTATATATGAAATAGAAATAGAAAGACTGAAGAATATAATAAAATTAAAAATAGACCGATATCTTAAAATTTGCGGAAGTTAGAGCTATTACAGACATTTTTTTTTTTAATTAGGGACCTTTGATCGCGTATATAAGGCTGGGTTTAATCAACCAAATCTTAAAGAATTATATATGAGATAGGGGTAGAAAAGACTGAAGAATATAACAAAATTAGAAATAGATTGATATCTCCAAATTTACGGAAGTTAAAGCATAAACAAACATTTCTACAAAAATTCAGAATTTTATTTAAAAAGAACCGCTTTGCCGATCATTGCCAAATTCAATCCCAACTTTCCTTACATGATACTCTATTGATTAAAAAAAAGTGCACTCCGATATCTAAAAAATTACGGAAGCATCAAGAATTCAAAATTTAAAAAAAAAAAACCCCTTGATTATTAGCAATTTTTATTAATTCTATTATATTCTCCAGTTTTTCTACCCCTATTTCATATATAATTCGTTAAGATTTGGTTAATTAGTTCTGGAGTTATAGAAATTTCGGTAAATTTGGCACATACACACACACATACACACACATACATACATAGACATTTTTTAAAATTGCAATTTTTCGACGTTTTAGAACATTTTGAACACATTCAGAAAAACAAAAAAAATTTTTTTTTAACGAAAACAAAGCTTCTTCTATAAGAAAGCAAAAAATGTAAAGCAAATAATGTTATTTAACTTTTATTGAGCATTATTAACAGAAACAAGACCATTATGATTATTCATGATATACAATTAATTCAAAAGAAAATGCCATTTACGGTCTGAACTAGATCTTTATTTTAATATTGTTTATTTTGTCGAATAAAAAAGATGTTTATCTTATTATTATTGCGATAAATATCACCACCTGACTCACAATCAGTGACAGAATTGATAAGACCGTAATCCCGAACACCTGTCACGGATTAAGGGAGATTCCAGGTTCGAACTCCGGCTAAAGGAGATATTTTTCGCAATAAATTCTTTATAGTAATTTAACCCGTTGAGGTCACATGGGGTCTAGTGGGACCCCAGGCTAACTTTGCGTCTACGTATCTTCGAAGAGACGGTTTAGCATGGAACTTGTGGCGCCATTTGTTGTTGTTTGAAGGTACTACAATAAGTTTCAAGGCTTATCGAAAGTCAGCGTGGCGTCAGTGCGTCTGTAGACATCGATTTGTACGGACGGTTTTTTTTTTGGAGATCCAGCAGACCCCATGTGACCATAGTGTGGCAAAATCGGAAAAAAACGTGTGCTAAGAAATTAATTTTTTTTTCGTTAAAATGTGATTGACAACGTAAGTATTAACACGTACTGTCATTTTTTTTGCCACAAAATAATAGTTATAACGTTTATATAGATGCCATATAATCTGCGATCTCGAACGACTGCTGACTCCAATTGTCATTGTTTTGCACTACAATGCAACAAAAGGAGGCACAGATTGTTTCGACTGGCTGTGCCATTCCCATACGGTGAGTTCGAAGACTAATCGCTGGCCTGTAAGAGTTTTTTACGGAATGCTTGACCAAGCTGCAGTAAATGCGCGCATTTTACTGAAGTGAAAATCTGTAAATGCAGGCATCAACAAGAGATTACCAGCCAAAGAGTGCTTAGACAAAATTTGTATGCATCTCGTCACGCCGTACTTGGAACGTCGCTTCGCGGAACCAATAATGCTTCGATCCTATTTACGTATAGGCATCGGTGAGATTTTAGGCAAGACCCAAGAGCCAACTTCCGCAGAAAGAGTTGAGTTGCCGAGCAAAAAAAGATGCGGCCTTTGCAAGCGAGGAAGCGACAGAAAGACAAAATATCAGTGCCCTTCTTGTCTACGACCCATGTGCGACGAACATCGGACGAATTTCTGCACTGACTGCGCTGGTCAAGAGTAGTTTTTCACAGTTCCTATAAATTTTTTTTACTTTTTTTAATGTAATTATTAATAAAATATACAGCTTTTCTCACATAAAAACAGTTTTTCACTTTATTTTACACGTTCAAAGCTTACCTATTTGATTTTACGAATTTCATGAAAATTGATAACTTCAAACTGTACAATAAATATACTTTTTTCAAAGCACGTTATAATACTATTTTTTTTTTAAGTATACTATTTTGAGAGTAAAACGCAAAAAAGTTTTTTGCTTTATCTCAAAAATTGAATATTTGACGAATATTTTTGTAAAAAAAGGCAAATTTCTCGAAAAATTTCTCTCTCGCGTTTTTTCAACATAAAAACGCTTAAAAAAGGAGAAATAAATTATTGGATTATAAAGAGAAAGTCTTAAACTAAATTCCAGTTCAAGGTTTGAGTCGATACATCAAGAAGAACGCAAATGGCAACTGTTTTTCTGCGTGGGGTCCATTGGACCCCATGTGACCTCAACGTTATTTTTAAGAGGTGTGACCTCAACGGGTTAAATAAGATGCTTATTAGCATCAAAGTTAAATCAATTATTAATTTAAGTAGGGGTAGGAGATTGTTTCAACAGAAACTCTATGTTTTAAAGCCGACAAACAATCGGCGCACCGTTTACTAGGTTGGAAATTTGTGCACTTGGAACTACATAGATTTATATTATTAGGCTACCAAGCTCCAGCTTAGACTGTAAATGGCATTTTCTTATAAACTGATTTATTAAACATTATTTGCTTAACATTATTTTCTGAAAATATTGTATATTGTATTAGATGTAGTTTTGTATATAAAATTTTGAAATATTACAGAAATATATAAACATCAATAAAAATATAGAAATTTTAGAACCTTTGAAATATTATAGAAATATTGCATTTTATACACATATTTGGTATATACATTTATGAACATATTACGTATTTAAAAATATAAACAGTAAAAAATTGGTTATAAATGCATACGTAATTTTACGTCTTCCGCAGTAATTCGTGATATTAGAAATACGCTAGGATAAAGGCGTAATCCTTCTTTTATACACCTGTCTAAATATGGCAAATCTTGCAATAATTTCATTGTAAATTTCTCCCCATTCTCTTGCAATGCAGTATTGACTTCGTTCCTGACACGATCCTGTATCATTATTATTAATTAAAAAGGCGTTTTTTATTATTGTGATGGTTCTATGTAAAAACAAATAAATTCTTAAAAATTCGGAGAATAATTATTTTACAAGTATCTTGATTAATTTGCTTGAGAGAAATATGTATGTATAAAATACATACATTTAAAACATAAAAAAATATTTAAAATATGTACGTGAGTGTGTACGCGTTCATATGCGTGTCCCCTCACACACGCACACACACACACACACACACGTGCGCGCGCGCTCACTTGCTTGTTTACTCATTCTTAGGGCCTAAGCAGAATGGCTGTCTTATAACCTTAAGGCAGTGTTTTATGTCTTAAGTCTTTGTCTTATGTAACGCACAATACTGTGTGTGAGTGTGTGTGTGAGTTCGCGCGCGCACACGTGTATACACATTTTCTGTACATCTACACAGTAAAAAATTTTGTGTAATTTTAATATTTTTTACATGTCCCAGAAAGTCCACTCTAAATTTTAAGTTAAAATGAGTCATTCATCGTGTGTTACTTGTTGATAAATTAGAAATGTTAATTAATTGACATTATACTTTACATTTATATTTGTTCTTTTGACTTTATTTTTTAAGTTATATTAACACATAATATTAATTATTTTACACATTTTACTTGAATTATATGTAATAAAAACATTTAATTTTAGTCAATTTGATTATTTTGTGTGTCAAAGTTTACGATTATTTTGAAAATTTACTTTAACTTTTACTTATGTGTTAAAATAATTTTAAGACGTGTTGATTTTTTAAAGTAATTGTGTTAAAAAATCTCAAAATAATATTCAATTTCTAAATGATATTTATAAAGTGTTAAGTTATCACGTTGACATAAATGTAACACATGAAAATGTTAAGAAAAAAATAACATACCTGTTGTATGTTAATTTTACATTGAAATAATAATCAAATCTTGGTAACACAAGAAAATTTTAACATTTGGACCGCTATGTATGTACACACGATTTTTTACCGTGTAATAATGCAGAAAAGCAACATGCATACATTACGCGTATTCCCACACTTATAGAGTTATTTAAAAAGTATATTGATACAATTTTAATATATAATATATATTAATACAATTTTAATAAATAAGTTTCGAAAATAATTAATTCTCTTGTTTAAGGCTTTAACCCCCATTATCTTCGTTCGAGCAGAGTCAGTGCTCTCGTATGAGCGCTGCACTCAGATATATCGCGCGTTAACACTTTCTTCAAAGTCTAATCTAAAAATTTTAAAAAACAATTATACAAATATAATCTAGAAGGTTTTAATTAAATGAAAAGCGAAAAGTTTCAGAGTCAACTTTTATGCTACATCTATACAGTTAAAAGCGAATAAAATGTAAACTAAGTGTTCGCTACATATGAAGGCAATGGAGGGTTAAAGATTGCGGCTCATATTTGAGCCGATAGATACCTGAATATCTCTATGTTCAGCTAATAGTGCCAAAATAAAGCACAGACCCATCGCTGTAGTATCATGACCCTGTAAATATATTATATATTTATATTTAGATAAACTAAATAATGAATAAAAAAGGTTACAAGAGAAATTACAAATGTACATATACCTCAAACATAAAGGTATCGACTTCCTCTCTGATATCGAAATCAGTCATAAGATCATCACGAGATGCCGCTATTAGAAGATCCAACATTGCAAGCCGTTTTTTTGGTACTAAATGTGTAAGCATGTGGGAATCAATTTCATTATCTAATTTTTCTGTAATGTTTTCATTACATAACATTGACTACGTTAAGAATTTAAAATATACATTTAAATTTTAAACTATGTAATACTAGTAAGTTGTAAAATATAAATTATGATATTAAGGAACAGTTACTGATTACATTACGTACTTCCTATCGGTTCTGCGTCATCTCTCTCTGCCAACGTGTCATTGCCAAAGCTTTTTAAGTATTGACCATTAGTGCGATCATGATATAGTTTTCTTTCAGCGATAATCTATATAAATAAAACATTAATGTTTCTTTAATGATTTATACACAGACTTCCGTGTACTACTAGATTACTACCTCTGTAGCCAGAACTGAAGCAAAGTTGAGGAAATATCGGCAGCCATTTTCTGGGAGGCATTTCATTTACCCGATGTTTAATTGGCATGTAGATGCAAATGCTTTTTCTTATGAGAACGATTCTTTGCAGACACACAATATTACACACGGAAAAACAAACTCTGTACACAATAAAATTTGCCTCTCAAAAAATGGCTGCCACTATCCCCACATTGAAATATTGCCTCACTTTTCAACAGGCCGATCGGCTGAAAATAGCGGTCTAGTAGTATATATAGTAGATTTGTGGATTTATATAAATTAATAATGCATTATTAGCAATATCTATATAATTATTATTGTGTGGTCAATATTTATGAACTATTTTACAATGTTTTTATACAATAGTCGTAGAATCAGTTATGTAATTTTTTAAAGTAGATAATGTTCAAATATAATATATTAATTAGTGTAGCATTATTACGTACTTGTTCAGTAAATCCATGTAATATTTTTAGCATTTTTCTTTGCTCTCTACCTTTTGATGTCAACGAAAATATCCAATTGTTATACAACCATGGCCTCACCATTCTAAAAAATTAATGAATATTAGACATGATACTTTAAGAAGATAATAGTATAATTTTGTAAAACTTATCTTTAATTTTTTTATATATTCTTACAATTAGTAATATTTCTGTAACCATATAAGAAAGAAGTACATTTACAATAAATACTAATAAAATGATGTTAAATCGAGATAATAGAATCTTATCATTACTATTATATAAAACGCGACTGTTTGTCTGTCCGTCCGTCCGTCCGTCCGTCTGTCCGCGAACTACTCATTCGTTAGTGGACCGAATTTTTATCAAGGGTACATGAAACAGGGGTAGAATTTCCCGGGGAGTGCCATAAAGTGTATAGTTTATTGCTACCGATTTTCTGGAAACCGATTTTTTTAATTCTTTCAATTTTTCCTGAAATAATTGACCGAATCTCAAAGAATTACGTATGAAACAGGGGTGGAATTTTCCGGAGAGTGCTATAAAGTGTATAATTTTTCGTTACCGATCTTTTTGGAAGCCGGTAATAGAAATTTTTCCAATTTGTCGGGAATTAATTGACCGAATCTGAAAGAATTGTATATGAAGTAGGGGTAGAATTTTACGGCGAGCGCCATAATGTGTACAGTTTTTGTTACCGATCTTTTTGGAAACCGGTTTTTTTAATTTTTCGGGACATAATTGATTAAATCTCAAAGAATTATACATGAAGTAGGGGTAGAATTTCCCGGAGAATGCTATAAAGTGTACTATTTTTTGTTACCGATTTTTTTGGAAACCGGTTCCGAATGATCATATCTCAAAGAATTGTACATAAAAAGTAGGGGTAGAATTTCCCGGAGAATGCTATAAAGTACATAATTTTTCGTTACCGATTTTTTTGGAAACCGGTTCCGAATGATCATATCTCAAAGAATTGTACATACAAAGTAGGGGTAGAATTTCCCGGAGAGTGCTATAAAGTACATAATTTTTCGTTACCGATTTTTTTGGGAATCGGTATCAGAAGTTTCGAAATTTTCGGGAAATAATTGATCGAATTATAAAGAATTGTATATAAAACAGGGGTAGAATTTCCCGGGAAGTGCTATAAACTGTAGTTTTTCGTTACCGATCTTTTTGGGAACCGGTATCTTTTTGGAAATCGGTTACGAAATTTTTCCAATTTTTTAGGAAATAATTAAGTGAATCTCAAATTGTATACGACAGAATTAAACTTTAGTCGATAAAAAAGTAATATTTTTCAATTTATAGCATTTGAGACAGAGA